CTCGTATGCATGCGTACATATACGGCACGGACAAGCAAATCCCGTTTTTGCCAGCAGGGAAAGGCACAATACTGGTTGGGCTGACCTTTCTAGGCTGAGCTCGTGTTGACGAAATGGCAATTTACGCACTACCCGTGTGAATTTCTGCAAGTCAGTCCCGAACTGATGCCTTGCTGAAACGATATTCCTCAAATCGCCGGCGTAAATAAAAGCACTAGGTATCTGTTTAGTTCAGTTTATGTATTACAACCGTAACTTCAGTTTCCAGATACGAGAGCCGAAAGATAAAAGGAGCTGAAACAGCTGGTAAAGACAGAAACTGCAGCCTCCATATTATTCATATATGTATTTTATCCATTGCTTTATTTATTTGATAGCAGCCATCTTACACCACCGGCGCGTTCGAGTCAGTTCAGCAGGTCACACGAATCGTACGCTTATGCGACGGCCTCGACCTCGCAGTAGAAGCCGGGTCCCGTGATTGACTCATCCGAGCGGAAGACCACCTCGAGGGGCCCGGACACTGTCTGTACCGGCGGGCCCTGCTGGCCACAGTATTTCCTGCCCAGTACCTGCAGCCAGTCGTACCCGCAGCTGCTGTTCGCCTCCACGTCAAACTCGCAGCAGGCGAACGTCATGCTGCTGACGCCGATGCCGGGGCTGAGGGTGTAGCTGCAGTTGTCGTAGTTGCCGTAGTTGTTCGGGTAGTTGGGCGACTGGACGGTGTATACTCCCGGGGACAGGGTGTGCGTGCCGCACGAGAGCACGGTGCTCGTTCCGCGCGCCAAAATGGTGGGGTCGTCGATCTCAGAGGACGGCTTGGCCAGCGCCAGTGCCGCCACGGAGCAGAGAAGCAGCAGGGTCTTCATGTCAGCTGCCTGGGCGGGTGCAGCGGAGCAGAGAAGTCCTCCACTTGTGACAGAGGATGGAGTCGTGAGACGTGGCTGATGGCGGCGAGGACTGCACTTATATGGCGCCCGGTAAGGTGCACTGTCACGGTACAAGTGTGAACAGTCGTCTATGCGCTATGACAAGCAATTTCTTTGAAAAGCTGGCAAAGTGTGTGAAAATTGCTTAGGTGACCGAGCAGACGCCTCTGCACTCCACTTGTGCTCTGGCTCATGTCACGACTGATTGACAGGTAATAAGACGTACGATTTATTAGACGGAAATGACGAATCAAAACTGAAATATCATCACTTTTTAGAATCGTAGGTACAACCTAAAGCTATATCATGTGAATCTTTGAACATCAAAGCGGCGATACGGGATGAACGAACTACGAAAGTGAACCAACAGATGCTTCACTTCATTGAACAGGGGAGCGTCGTAAATCAGGCTTAAAATTGTATGGTTAGGCATAAAATATGAACCTTATGTCTATACCCCAGAGGCAGACGCAATAAGTTAACCCTCGCCGGACCTATTGGTTTTCTACATACGCGCCGGCCGAGGGGGGGGGGGGCGGGTACGACCCCCCCCCCCCTCGCCGTTTCGCCCCTGGTGGAGCTAGCGCGTCGCGAAAAAAACGAGCGTGTGCGCCGTTACAAGACGCAGAGATTGGCACCCAATTTTAAGGTCCTAGGTCAACCGGTGACCTCTGAGGTCAGGTCAAGTGCCCCAAGGTACGGTTCAGTTTTTGGTGAATAACTTCGCAAAAAACGGCCGCAGAGCCGCGATTTTGGCAGTATCGTGTTCGCCTCGCTCAGGCGCGTCGAATGATGTACTTTTTGTTTAGGTCAGGTCAACTAAGGGTGTTGACCTCAGGTCACGGTCAGGTCAGCACCCCCAGGTCACGAAGTTGGTCGAAAGAGGTCATGTCGCAAATCATTCGATTCGGCAGGTCTTTCTGAGTCCATTGGTGGCTTTCCCCACTCGCTAGCTTAATTTGATCGGGAGTTATTGACGAAAAACTAATATGACCTTGATGCCTGATGGCGTCATAAATGACGTCACGCAAGGTCAACATTGCAAAAGTGACGCATCTAACCTTGCAAGGAGTGCATCAAATCACGATTCTGTGTGCTCGAGATAGTTGGAGATCGTTCCCGGGGCGCCAGAATAGCAGTTTTTATTTTTTCCCCATTGCATTGACTTATAATGGTGAGGTCACGAAAATGACCTGACCTCACACGACCTTTAGGAAAAATCCGAGATAAACAAGTTGTGAGACTCGCAATGGATACTAGATCCTGCAAGTTTCATTTCCCTGTGAAAGCTGCTCTGTCAGTGAGGGCGTTGCGAAGTTGCGACATCTGAAGACCGTGCAGAGGCTGAGGTTCACTTATGACGTCATAGGTCAGTGACCTGACATGACCTGAAAATGCGATTGGTGTCAAAAGATCCGGCTTGAATCAAAGGTCAGATATGCCAAGTTTCAGCTTTTTATCCCAGCGTGTTCGGAGTTATTGCGAAAAAACCCTATGGGAGGAGGCACCCCCCCCCCTCCCCCTCGGCCGGCGAGGGTTAATACACATATAAATGGAGCGAGAATGTACCTATAGCAATTTTAGCACGCATTTTTTTATGGTCGACTAAATGAGTGCACGTTTATTTGTAAGGCTGCGGCCATTCAAACCTCAACCAAGAAAGTGAAACTGCGACTGCATGTTCAATCAAATAAGCTCATACAGGGTGGAAAGTAATTACGCGAACATGTATTTTCTTACAATTTTGACCGTCAGTGGAGCATTATTATGAGTACGGGCTGTCATGGAACATAATTGGTCGTGTTTGTTGTCGCCTCATCTACCAAAAGTGACCCAACTTTGAACAATGACCTGGAAGGTCTTAAACACCTCTCGACTTAAAATGGTGCAGACACCATACGCTGCACAAGACCGAAATGGGCAAAGAGCTCAATTTGGAGCTGCCAGGGAAAGCGTTTATGATTATTTTCGCTGGATTGGCGGAGAAGGGATTCGTAGTGGTCTCAGCACCAGCATTGCACAATTATACGTTTTTTTTTAACATAATAACACTTGAGAGGACTTAAAAAGCAAAGCCGTCCGCGGCAGCAACCCCTCGGCGAATTCTGCCGCCGGGCGGGTGGTCACCATGTCGGCGACAAAACGACGCCAGTCGACCCGAAAACTGGCAAAATAGCTTACTCTGGCCGGGTACCCGATCTAAGATATCACGATTCGCACATTAATACGCAAAAATTCGAAAATTAAGTCGTACAAACCCTCGGGATGACCAAAATTCACGAATTAACAGCAGAATTGTTAATTGAAGCTTTTCAAAGACAATCAAAGATGGACAGAGGAGGACAGGCAGCTGGATTTGTGGTTGGGTGAGACATCTGTGAAACTGTTTCATCCGTCAAACCTGCAGAACAACTGCTCTGAGGGCTGCTGTTGCGTCCTATGTCCCGTCCGTCCCAACCTTCAAACATCCGGCAAAGGAACACATCAGTGGGTCACGAGCCCCCGGGTGGTGTCAGAATTGCGTGTAGCGCTAAAAAAGGTCACTAAAAATAAAGTATACAACCGGTGGAACATCCTCCAAGACGAGTGTCTCTGTCTAATCCACCGTGCAACGAAAGGGGCAAAATGACTGAGCGCACTTTTGTGCCTGACGCAAAGAAACTGCTCTTCGTGATTGGTGAAATCCTTACTTTCACGGCCAACAAAACGCAATACTGGTGCTGTGAGAACCTGTTTTTCTTCAGGACATACAAAAGCTGATCTGGGAAACGCCTGGGCCTCAATTCGATTAAAAATCTCCAGATGACTCCTCAGGAGACCGTCTAAAAGCTGCAAGGAGCCACCAACACCGATTACCTCACTGGACAGCTCCATAAGGTGTGGGCTGAGCTTTGGCCAACAGATCTTCACATGCTGATGTAAATCATGCCGGAACGCCTATGTCAATGCATCGCAACTAGATAAGGATAAAGTAAAACATATATTGTTTATGTCACCGCCGTTTTTTTCATTACTAGAAGACGAAAAAGTATGTTCGCGTAATTACTTTCCACCCTGTATGACCAAGAAAAAGTGAAAACGCGATTTGTTCGAAACTTGGTCATCGCCATCTCCGTTTCTACAATGCTATTCAAAAGAAGTATAGGTCAACGCAATATCAATGTAATCACGACACTTGACGCATCCAGCTAGAAAGCTATGCAGAAATAGCCTGATTTGTGTCTTGTTAAAGGGAATAGTTCACATTCCTAAAATTAGTTTTTTTTTGCAATGGATTTATGATTTTTTATGCTCGAAAGGATCTGAGAATAAAATAAAATATTTTTATTAAAAGGATTATTTTCTTTATTTTAATATAGGAAGAACTATATTTTGCATAAAACCATGTTTGACGTGGAAGCTTATTGAGCGTTGGCCAATCATATTGCGTAGTTCAAACCTATACGCAAGCTGCATTGGCTATAAGCAGCATGATTGGCTGACGATGACGTAGCTGCTTTCCTCAGCAAGGCACGCATTCCTCTGCAAGGCACTCATGAACGAGAGCTGGAATATATTTGTCTAGGGTGATCGTTGGACAGTAAAAGCTCCTGATTGGTGCTATACCTAAGCATCAGCTCAAGCTACGAAACTGCTATTCCAGTTCAAAACCCCATGTGAAAAAATGAACTTTTCCCTTTATCGAATTAGGATTCCAACTTCCAAGACTTTCTTAAAAATTATCTATTGCTTTTTCTTACAATCATTGTAAAACCTTATCAGCATTTACAAATTACACATGCGTCATAGGTAGGTACCTACTCCCGAAAAAGAAATATTTGAGACGCTCCTCATTGCCGTGTCTGAGGTAAGGACTGAGCGAAAATGGTAACGTCAATCAGTACCGTCAGGTGACGTCTTCCGAGGCACCTGTGTACCAATTGGAGGGCGGAACAATAAAGGTGTTACACCTGCGCACATGTGAAAAAAAATGATCGTCTAAGACAGTCATTTAGAGTATGATGACGAATGACGATGCACTTCAGGTTACCAGATAAAAGCGGGTGTCTGTCAAGGTCTAAGCATTCGAGCCTCGCCGTCTTCGAGACTTGGACATTCGAGATTCCTCCTCTCCACCGATTACCGCTGACGACACCATGAGAATCCTGCTGGTGAGCATTCTTCTGGCGGTGACGGCCGCCAAGCCGCGGCAGGTGTCTCCTCTGGACCAGTGGGTCACTGAGGCCCCTGGCGGTAAGCCCGAGGGACAGTGGATCACTGGCGCTCCCGCTCCGGGACGTAAGCCTGGGTTACAATGGGCCTCTGATGAGCTTGCCTCCGACAGTCGCAAACCAGAGATCCCTGTTGACGACAACTTCGAGTACCGCAACCCGTCAATCACCGACGACGGCCGTGAGCTGTTCGAATCGGACATGGTGCTGACGGCCGAGCAGCGCGACGGCCGTCAGGCGGCCACCAACCTCTGGACCAGCCCGGTCAGCTTCGCCATCAGCTCCAGTTCGTCCGCCGACCGGACCGCCATCCTGGCCGGAATCCAGCACTGGCGGGACCACACCTGCATCGAGTTCAACGAGGTGGCCGAGGGCTCCAGCGTGCCGCACATCAACGTCATCAAGTCGACCGGCTGCTGGTCCCACGTCGGTCAGATCACCTATTCCGGAAGTCAGGACCTCAGCATCGGCTCCGGCTGCACCTCTCTGGGCACGGTGGTGCACGAGTTCGGCCACGCCATGGGCCTGTCGCACCAGCAGTCGCGCAACGACCGCGACAACTACGTCACAATCCTCTTCGAGAATATCCAGGACGGGAAGGCGTACAACTTCAACAAGAAGTCCACGCCCAACAACTACTCGGTGCCGTACGACCTGTCCTCGGTGATGCACTACGGTAGCACTTACTTCACCAAGAACGGCCAGGACACTATCCGTGTCAACAACTTCCTGCAGGGAGGTCTGATCGGCCGCCGTGGGGGACTGTCGCACCGTGACAAGCAGATCGCCAACGCCATGTACAACTGCGCCGGTAGCTGCTCCAGTCCGCCCACCTGCCAGAACGGCGGCTTCGTCGGCAAGACCTGCACGTGCGTCTGTCCGCCCAACACCTCCGGCGCCAACTGCGAGACGCTCAACGGCAGCTACTACCCGGGGGTCGACTGCGGGAACATCGACATGACACAACCGGGCACCATCACCACACCCAATTACCCCAACAACTTCCCCAAGAACGTCGTCTGCTGGTGGGTCATCAACGCACCGGCCGGCCAGCAGGTCAAGGTCACCGTCACCGACATGAAGATGTTGTACCGCTCCAACGGTAACTGCTACTGGGACTTCCTCGCTATGCGCTACTCGGGCAACGACTTCGTCAACGACCAGAAGGCGTGCAACGAAGAGCTGAAGGGTCAGAGTTTCACCTCCACCGGTAACCGCTTCATCATCCAGTTCCATTCGGGTAACTACGGCTGGTACCGCGGCTTCTCAGCCAACGTCGAGTTCCTCGGCACTCCGGCCACCACGGCCGCCACCACGACCGCCACGACCCCCACGACCAGCGGCCCGACCGTGCCGGCCCGCAACTGCGCCGGCACGCGCCGGGCGCCACTGCAGCGCGTGTAAAACACATGATCGGCACCTGTAGCCAGAATACGTGTAATCCACACGTGTTTGGAGCCCACACGTACCGAAAATACATTGTCTAATGCAAATCGATCGTCTTTGATATGTTCAAATGAGGTTGCCGGCTCGGCAGATCAGTGCCTTCCAAGCAATCTACTTTTTAAAATATTTAACGGAAATGGGAATAGAGGCATCGGGTAACTTCGCAAACTGGATGAACGAGAGCGACAAATAAAACAAGCAGTACTAAAACAACCGGCTTATGTATGATCCTAATCGGGCAAAGTTCAACAGAACAATGGAGACTTGCTGACCGATATCATGCATGGATATTACAAGAAGAGACAAACATCAACAAAGTAATAAAAGCGCATGGGTACTTGTGTTCCACAGCGTGCACTTTTCCGCGCTCTCGGAGGAGAATCAAAGTTTGCATAGTATCCAATGCAAGGAAAGGTTGCATATGCATAATTGCGGTGCCACGGTTACTATGTTGAGCTTAGACGGCTGCTATGAAAGCAAACAGGGCTGGTGTTTTGGATAAGTTTATCGCATCGGCGGCACCCCAAACAGTCGGCGGTCGGGTGGTTCCGAGAGTTTCCAGAAACGGCACCCAATTCCACAGAAGCCAGACTCTTGCATCATCTTCACAGACCCCGGCTCAGGCAAAGTTCCAGCGGAGCTCCGAAAAAAAGAAGAGAAACCGTGCCCGTGTCCACGATATTCGCGATATCCATATCGAGAAAAGCAAATGATGTCATATGCATTGCTAATGACTGATGTGTAGGGTTTAAAGATTTAAAATACTGCCAGTATAGCAGGCCACATGTCAAACCGAAAACAGTAAGTAGAAGATCAAAGTGCCTTGATCAAAGTCATATCTTTCAGTCAAGTCCAGGTCAAGTCTAGCAATTTCTGAAATCAGTCATGGTCAACAAAAGCAGATTAAGTCTTCCGGCCACCACTGTCGTGTAGAATCTGGAAGCTATTCGTAAAGTTTAAGCATTTTCCCCACCGAATATCGAACTTGTGGTCCATTTTGCTACCCTTAAAGGGACTATCCCACCTTTAACATGGGGTTTGAGTTGAGATAGCCAAGTTTGCGGCGAGGTTCAGAAACCACTATCTATCTAGGTTGCAAACCCCGCGGCCTCTTGGTGTTGAAGAAATTCGTTCCCTTCATTTGAAAATGGGCCTTGTACAAGGCCCTAGGGGAGAGCGGGGCCAGTTGAACCACTTTTTATATATTGACATGCACAGCGAGATCTAGTTGTCATATCGAAAAATGCACAATGCCATGAAAAAATATGCTCTTTTGGCTTTATTCTAAGATATGTAAAATTATGTTTCAAACATATTTTACTGCCAAACGCATGCTTATAAAACAGCTCTACGCCCGTTTCAAATGACCCCGATGCGAGGGTCAATTGAACCAGCCCATGGGGTCAATTGCACCTATCCTTAACAATGGGATGTTTTCCTCTTTAAGGCCACTTTCGTAAGGAGATATTTTGTCCGGTTTACTTTTCCAAATGCTACATTCAATAGGTCGTTGGAAAGCTAAAAGTGCAAAGTTCCTCATAATAGGTGACATAAAGTACATAGACTATGGTAAAATGGGCGGATGAGAAAAATGAGAAATATCTCAGGCTATAGTGTGCTTTCAAGCAAAAAGCTGGAGAAAAAGGGGTCAAAAATTAAGCTCTATTAAACTACTATTTCAGTTTAAAGCTCATTTCAAAGGTGGACTATTTCCTTTAATGTTTACAGCCCCTGAACAATAACCATTGCAAAGGTCACCGGGGTCCATTGAAACGGCCTGTGGCCCTGTTTCAACTGACCCTCAGAGAAGCGTTTCAATTGACCCCATCCGCTTCCGCCATCTCGCACGCGCCGTAAAGCACATGTCAAACGAGCTGGAGGGACGGCATCATGCTGAATGAAGGGCCAAATAAGGTGTTATTCCGGAGCCAGGAGTCCTTCTTTCAGCAAACAAAGGTATATGAGATATCACACAATATTCACAAGAACGATTTCTCCCAAACGCCCCTCAAAAACACAAAAACAAGTGTCAAATCAAAATTACCGTCCGTTTGCCGCCCAAACGCCGTTGACAAAGGAAGTTGTCCAGCGCGGATGCGCAGTGGTGTGGGCAACGCCATATGTTGCATACTGTTGAAAATAAAGCCATGTTTCATCTGACCCCGTGTTTCAACTGGCCCCGCTCTCCCCTATCTTCAACATGGAGCGACCGTTAGTGTGACGTCACCTCGTTTAGTCATTCTGATTTAAATGGGTTTGTTCGTTGAAAAATCGCTTAAAACTTGGTCTGAACTTTGTTGTTGTGCCTACAGAGTAAAAAGAATCAGCTTTACGACAGTAATGTGGCCTGGGGAAGGAGGTAATTTTGGGCTGTGACGTCACATATTTGAAAGTTTGTGTTTGGAATATGGGAAGCCTAAGATGTTTAATGAAAAATAAATGCCAGAACCGTGTTCCTGGTCATCCAATCTATAAAGTCGGGCACAATTTAACTGGTTTTAACAACATTTTAGAAGGTGGGATAGTCCCTTTAAATTTTCTGTGCCATGCACGGAGCTCACGGAGTTGGCACACACAAGTGCACAGAAGTATTCATTCAAGTCAACTCATCGCATTTTTCGTACAACTGGGCGTACCAAAGCGACACATAAAACCCATCAGAGAGCTCCATATGCAGAGCATTATTGATTATGCATACCTATTGCCAAAGCATCGTTGCGCCAACAAAAGCATGGCCTCGTCTGACAAAAACAACTACCTTACATGTACCTATAAGGTCGGGATTTTTTTTTTCGGTAGGACTGCAAGAAATAAAATATACATGATACAGTATGCATTGTGCTAGGTGCCATTACCGTGCCATTACCTACATACACGTACTCACAGGGATGTCCTGGTCACACGTCAAAAACAGATCACGACGCTCTGTTCGATCATAGCTCTACTGCACAGTGCACAAACTCATGGTTGAACTTTGAAACCACACATGCTTCACCATAGCATATTGTCTGTTGAGCTAGACAACGGGTATCGACATAAATAGACTGTGGCGGGTGCAATGAGGGTGACAATTAAATGCCTTAAATTTTTCACGGATGCTCCATCCCATTTGTTCCGTGGGAGAAGGTTGTGTGAACTGACACCGCCGATAAGTCATCATATAAAAAGAATCGCGTGACTCAATCGACAGAACAATGACGGAAGCCAAAAAGACAGAGCCACCTCACTAGACGGGGACAAAACAATGCCGATAAATCACGTACATACCACCCATGAACACCATGATGTAACCACTGATGGATAGATCGCCGTCTACCCGCCTCTAAAACCAGCATTCTTTTACAATGCCAAACAACTTATGACTTCATCTTTTCTCATCCGCACTTTCTCATGGACGCTGTTCTTGTAATTCGTGACACCATGCACGTGGGAAGGCCATGACAGAGCATCACATCATCACATCATCCTATCCCACCTTCCTTTCAGCTTCTTCGCGTTATGCTCCCCCGTGCTCTGATGCTATCTTCGTGTGCAGGCTGCAGAGTCTCGCACCGTCACACAATGCCCCCGTCCCGGCTCAGCTCAGGCAACGCTCACCGTCTGCGTCAGTCGGTGCCCCTAGGTAAGACATAACCTCAGCTCCGAGTGGGAGATAACTATCATCTCCCATCAGACGCCGGTGACGTTGGCTACAGTCTGACTTGCGAGACGTGCGCATGAGGTGTCGGAAAAAGATGCACCCTAGGAGAAGGAATGATGTAGCAGAGAGGGAAGAGACACGACAGGACAGGAGAGGAAGAAAGAGTGGGACAGGACAGCGGAGGAAAGGACAGGGCAAGGCAAGCTCGTGGTAGTGCACAGCAAGATAAAGCAAGACGAAGAGGTAAGGTCAGAACGGGTTTAACAGGACGGGACAGATCCGATAGCCAGCCGAGATCCATGCTTACCGTTAACACCCGCAGGCCTTGCAGACCGTTTGGCTGTCAGCTGCCCCGCAAGGTAAGCCAGAGCTGTGAGCGGGCTGCGACGGATCGCTCGCTCATTCCGGTCATGTTTCTAGGATAAGATCGCCGCGTCACGCCGCTAGACGCACGCACGTTTGTGCCGAGACCGATCCCCGATAGTCTGGTAAGTGTGCGCAAGAGTTGTGTCGACAGTTTTGACAGCGGCAGGAACGTGACGGACTCATTGCTGAAGTGCGCCCGCGACCAGGGATCGAGCAGGCTGCAGTAGCATAAATTACACCCGCTCACTCTGACTCGCGTAGATTATACCTACAAATGAACAACGGATAGCATCACAGCGTCAAACGATTGAAGAACACAGAGGAAGCACTTTTAACTTTCGGCTGAGCTAATAAGCTTCCGGACAAAAACACTCGTAAGTAGAAAAAGGTTCCTTAATCGAAGCTAATGCAGGTGAGATGGAGATAACTGATTTTGCTTTGAACTTTATAGTGAAACCTGATTAACACATGTTAGAACCGCAACAATGTAAGCTCAGACAAAATTAAATATTTTTTATCTTAATAATAATATTGTTTAAGTGGACGGTCCGATAACAAATGGGAGTGCAATACAGTGACATTAATTATGCCTTGTGCCTATGTACATATTGCTTACATCACGCTGTCAAGTTGGTGTGACGGGGGTATTGCCTGGTACATGGCTGTGCCCTTTTATAGTTAAATAGATGCACGCCTACGCACCAGTATGGGCTCGACCACAGCATAACGGCACTTGGAATTTGACTCACTAAGAAATGTAGGCATGCCATATCCTGAGAGGCTTTATATCGCTAAAAATAGACGATACCTCTCGGGAGAGATTTGACCATGTTTTGACCGGCGACGATATAAACCACTCCAATGTCACCAGATTCTCATTTCCCAGGCCATTTCAGGAATGTCAACATCATGCACGCCGTGTTACCGTGTACCTACCCACCGAATTTCAGCCAGCTACATACAAAATGAGACGTAGCATATGTGCCTTGTGCCTCTATAGAGACACAACTCAAGCTCAATTATCTTAATCGGCATTAATTA